AAATTACCTTTTCTTTGGAGCATTAATCTATTTCCTTTTAATCCTGCATCTCTATTATGTAAAGTTATAAAAGCTTGCAGATAAGGCATTTCATCCCACTTTCCTGATCTTTGACAAAACAACTCTAATTGCAGTATGGTATAGTAATATAAAGACCCCTTCAGCAGCCAGTGCTCTCCTGAGTCTAAATTATACACAAGCCAAGCAGTATTACAATAAAAAATCCTTTTTAGTTACAAACTTATAAGCGTAGGTCAACCAATCTGCCAAAACTGTCCCCAGATAGCTGTTTTCCATGGAGGCTCTTCCCCGCTTTCTACCAGAGAGAGCTCTGTAATACCACTCAAACCAAACCAGAAGGCATCTTAATTACTGACAACCTAAGTCATGACCTGGGAATGTAACCCTGAACCAGCACAGCGATTCAACTGGAAAGTGAAGGTGACATGGAGTGCCGAGAGTCAGAGAAGGAGAGTTCCCAAGTTAAATCACTTGGCAGCTGCCAGGGAGTCTCCAAATCTGCACCTAGGGACCCCCCAGCCCAGGCAGCCAGTGGGACTCCCTGCCAATCACCGAGACTTACCGGAGAGTAGCCAGAATATGAAACTGGAAAAATTGGTGTTTGCACTGCCCGTCACTCCCAGAGCCAGTAAATAGAGACAAGGATTGAATGTTTATGGGTGCTTTATTCAGATGGCTAGCAATCTGAGAAGACGGTGGGCTATATACCCTAAAAGACCATCTAACACTTCATCTCAAGTCAACTTTTTTTTATAAGGAAAAGAAAAGTGTAGGTAAGGGGTGTGGAATTCAAGGAAAAGGTTAATCAGATAAAAGCTGCAGTCTTGGCAATTTTCCTAGCATCCTTTCATCTCTTGGCCAGTGATTCTTTATCTGTGTCCTGGGATGCTGACTTCTCTCCTTGGAGCGAAATAGCTCACATACCATCTTAATTGCTTGCAGTCCTCCTGGGGCACACAGGTGGGATTGCTGGTGGATCTCCTGGAGTCAGGGTAGGTCCAGTTACACATTCCAGTTCCTGGAACAGTAACTTTCTACATGTATTAATTACTAAGCTTATTAACTATAACTGAAAATTAAAAATTTTTGCCCTGATCAGTGTGACTCAGTTGGTATTATCCCATAAAGTGAAAGGTTGCCAGTTTGATTCCCAATCAGGACGCATGCCTGGGTTGCAGGTTTGGTCCCTGGTTGGGGTTTGTACAGAAGGCAACCAGTCATTGTTTCTCACATTGATGTTTCTCTTCCTCTCTTTCTCCCTCCTTTTTCCTCTCTATAAAAATAAATAAATAAAAATTTTTTTTAAAAAAACAAAAAATTTTCCATCTTTTGAGTTCTCCTCATCAGAAGACTTATAAGATATTTAGGATTTAGTGTAAAGGAAATGTCTTATTTTTAAGGTAAAAGCTGTTTTTGTTTTCCAAAAGGGAAAGTTATTTTTTCTAATTATAATATTATGTAAGTTTATTACTTTAAAAACTCAAATTTTATAGAAATATATAAATTAGAAAGTAAAAACTCACATAATTTCTTCTCCTTTCACTCTGCTCCATACATAATGCTGTTCATAGTCACGTGGGTAGTTGTACCTGCCACTTTTAAGCATGATTACTCATTCAGACAAGTTTATTTGGATGCGTACTTTAAAAAAAAAAGGTAGAGTCATATTACAGACAGTTTTTTTAGCTTATGTTTTGTTTAACAGTATGCTTGCTTTTCTGAAGAAGCATGTATAGCTATATTTCATCTTTTCATGGCTGCAGAGTTTTCCATTGTATGATTTAATAGTCTCCAGTCTACATTTAGGGTATCTCCAAATCTTACGATTTATAAACAGTGCTGTCGTACACATCCTTGTACATTTCTACTTTCTCACTGTCTAATCATCTCCTTAAGGTAAGTTTTTGGAAGTGGAATTATGAAATAAAAGAACATACACATTAAAAATTGTGATATGTATTCAAATGTCGGCTAGAGAAGACTGGTTTCCACCACTGCCAACACCGTGTGCGTGCACATTGGTTTTCCACCCCCTGCCAGCTCTGCCTATTACCAGTGTTTTAGTCCCTGCTGGCCTTTCTGATTAATGAAAGATGCTATCTGAGATTTTGATAGTCTCGTTTTATAGTACATCTTTAATCTGTTGGATTTAGTTTTGTTCGTGGTGTGACGTGGGGCTGGAACAGTTTCCCCCTAATATTAAGCTAATTGATTAGAAGAGATTGAAAAGAAGGAAAATGTAAGCTTATTCCACTGAAAAGAGAATCCTTTACCAAAGAATTTAATTGTGGATCAGCCACAAAATACCATGTGCATAGGGGCTACAGTGTCCGTGCTACAAAGATAAATTCGGTACCACCCCTCTACAGTCCTTATTCCTTCTCTAATGACTATTTTTCATTAGCAGTTAGTTATATATGGAGCTTTCTATTCAAATCTGCCCTAAATGCTGTTAATTGCTTTGAATTTTAAGATAACCTATTTATTGACCTATATTATTTGCAGCAGTCGTTAAAAATAGAAAGTTAAAGTGATAATAACCGGCAATCAAATTCCTAACAGTGAACTCCATAGGACATGTTCATTGTAATAAATTGCTTGAAATCTCATTCCCAGAAGTAAGAGGTTTGGGGACAGAATCAAGAACATGCCTGTTTTTTTGAAATTAGGCAATGGAAAGAAAATACTTAAAGCAAATTTTCACATCTTGTCTTATCAAAGCATCTTATTTATCCTATTGTGTTGTGACAACTTTATTTTTCTGGAAGAATATTTGGGATATTTAAGATTGGAAAGTATAGGGAGACTTGAGTAATTAAGCAATAATTGCTTTTTTTTTCTTTTTGACGGGTATTGTTTCTTACTGGTGGCTGAGACTTCCCCAGCAGTCTCTGTTCTTCGCTACCTGATTATTTTACTTTCACGAGAGTAACATCTCTAACCATATTCTCATTAGAGGGAAGAACCAAATTGTGTACTTTAGTACCCTCTCTTTTCTTTTCTCTAATAATAAATTCTTCCTCTCCTGCCCTCAACTAACATAGAAAGGGAAAGCTGTGTAATGTATAATCAGCAGATGAGGCTTTCCAATGAAACTGTGATATCTAAATGAGTATGTTTCATTAACAAACAAAGGGGTAGCCTACTTCACACACAGCAGGGCCGAACACTGAGTTTTGCAGTGGAGAAATTGAAGCCATGAGGATGAGAAGCTATTGTTTTAAATTCTAACTCCCTAATGGCTTTTGATCAAGTTTTTTAAAGGCAGAAATTGAGGGTTAGGAATTTAGGGTATGAGGGTGAAACTGATTGGTTAGTTCTTTTGCAAGCTTCAGTGGTTTTCTTTAGCTGATTAATTCAGTTCCTTACCTCATCGTATTTGGTGCCTTTGTCACTGTGATTGTTGAATGATCAGATTGGGTGATCTATCTGGTAAGGAACTAAGACTCTGCAAAATATCTCATAATTGTAAGTCAGTGACATCCTTAAAGTAAAAAGCAGAAACTAAACATCTCAGGACCTTTGTTTTTGCTTAAGCTACCATCGTTTTGTGCCTAACTGCTGCATTTTTCTATTATCTCAAGCAAAGTGTTCCCTTTAAACATTTTTTCTGGAACTTGCTTTATAGGCAGGCCTTCAGGGCATGACTAACAGGACTTATAATCTTTGACTGTAAGTAACTAACATTTTCTAAATTTTGACTAAATCCTGTGTGACAACAAAAGTGATTAAAACATTTAGTTAAAACCTAAACCTATATCTCTAGACTCTGGTGTAATACCTAAACATGTGTGCTGTTCGCTGCCCATTTCAGTTGCTTTCATTCATTAGCCATAGTAGAATATCAAAGAAATAAGAGTTTTGGAATTGAACTTCCTGGGTTCATATCCTGGTATGTCACTAGCTGTTTGACCTCTCTAAGCCTGTTTCCTCACGCACACAATTGAATTACTTTGTAAGAGTGTGTGGAAATTCAATGCAATAACACATAAAGCACTTAGTAGCATGCCTTCCAATAGTAAATGCACATAAATTTTTAGCAAATTTTTATTGTTATTATATGTTAAATGCTGTGTGTGTGTGTGTGTGACCATTGCTCAAACTCTTTCTAAATGGATTGCTTTTTTAAATTTACGTATGGGAGCTGGGATCAGGTTTGGCTGCTAATAACAGGGAATTCAAGATAGCTATGGTTTAATAAACAAACAATAGCTTATTCTCTCATAAGAGAAGTCTTAAAGTAGGTACTCCAGGTCAGTTATGGTAACTTTAAGGAGTCATCCAAAACTCATGCTTTTTTTGTCTTTCTGCTCTCCTAACACTTGGGTTGCATCCTCAGAACCACTTTGTGGTCAAAGATGGCTGCTGGGGCTTCAACTCTCGTTTGACTTGTAGGCTAGAAGAAGGAACGCTACAAAAGACTTCCTCTGAGCTGTTGTCTCCTTCTTTTATAAAGTCTTCCCAGAAATCTTCTGCACTGTCACTGTCTTACTGTACAGAACTTAGTCACATAGCCACACCCAGCTACAAGGGAGGCTGGGAAATGCAGTTTTGGTTGAGTTCATTGCCACCCAAATAAACACCAGTAAAGGAGGAAAGGATGGATATTGATTGGTAACTGCTATCTCTGACATAGCCTATTTCTTACTGGCAAGAACAGCCAAGCAAGTACTGCTCTATTATTGGATTAAAAACTTGGAAATATTTTTGTGTAGTAATGACCTTTCTTATTACAAAAAAACTCCTGGTAGAGGGGTTTGAATTGCATTGATTTTATTTAATTACCAAACTATTTCTGAGAATAGCCAAGACTTGACCACTTGTTGTCGATACTTGGAATTAATTACACTGGGAGTCTGGTTGCTTTTGCTTAGACATTATTTCTGAGTCACTCATCATTTGAATTTCAATGGACACGGATGTTCAGAAGTTCTTACCTCCCTAGGCATTTGAACATTAATTCACAACTTTCTTTATAGATATATGGCAATGTATGGGAGAAACTACGCCGGGCCTTTGCCATTTGGAGTGGCTTTGGTATGACCCTAACTGGTGTTCACACTTGCGGAGATTACATGTTCAGTGGCCACACAGTCGTCCTAACTATGCTGAATTTCTTTGTCACTGAATGTAAGTATCTATTTAGTGCTTACATACATATTAGATGACTAACTGCAGAGGAGGCTGTGGGAAGGATGTCAAGTTCTTTGAAGCATGTGTCTGAGAAGCATTGGAAGGAATGTGGTTTTAAAATATTCTTTCTGTTCTTTTCCCAGATACACCAAGGAGCTGGAATTTCTTGCACACTTTATCCTGGGTTCTCAACCTCTTTGGAATCTTCTTCATTTTGGCTGCCCATGAACATTATTCCATTGATGTGTTTATTGCCTTTTATATCACAACAAGACTCTTTTTATATTACCATACTCTAGCTAATACCAGAGCATATCAGCAGAGTAGGAGAGCAAGAATTTGGTTTCCCATGTTTTCTTTTTTTGAATGTAATGTTAATGGTACAGTACCTAATGAATATTGTTGGCCATTTTCAAAACCAACAATAATGAAAAGACTAATTGGATGAAGATTATCTTTGTTATGTGTTCATGATTAAATATACAGTAGTTGTTGAAAGTGAATAACTTTGCTTTCTCCCCCCTAGGTTGTTCGTGGATGCCTTGCTTTTTGGCTTATATGTTGACAGAGTAAAGGTCCCTATTCTGAGCAAGGCCCTATTCTGATTATAGAAAGCAAGACGGAACAATCAAGAGTCCTTACGTATCTGTTTGAATGGAAAACCTAAGTAGATGTTTTTGCCCCTTCGGTTTAGACAGAGGTAATGTTGCAATTGAAGTCGGGCTGTTACCCCTACCTGTTGAGTATTTGCTTATTGAATTTAGCAAATCAAGTTAAGCAGTGTGCTGGTTTAAAGATTTTGATTGCTTTAATTTCCAGTAGGACTCCAGGCAAGAAATAATATTTTTTGAAGTTCCGTATAATCTTCAAAGGAAAAACCCCTACCAAGTGAATAGTACTTATTCTTTGAATTAATCTGTGTCTTTTTAACAATGCAACTCTGGAAAGTAATTGGTTTTACTAACATAATCCTTGCCTTCTGAGATCTTTAAAAAAGTATATTGAACATACCAGGATGCCCGAAACAAAAAGAGAAAAGGGGCCATACTTGAGGTGACAGAGTCCTATGTGGTACTGGCATTTTTCACCAGAGATGCAATGAAAGATGCCTGTATTGTTCTGAGGGTTCTGTATGAGCACAGCTTTATGGGGGGAGATGGCCGTGTCCATAAATGTAAAACTGGATGAATTTTAGTAATGGAACAACTTTGTGCTGTAGCTGTTAGTTAGATGGCAGCCCAGTTTTGTGCTTTTCAATGATGTTATTTGTTATTTAATGAGAAAAAGTGTGGAGTGTTTTACCAGATATTAGATACAGTTCTTATGTCCTTAAGTATGGAGATACACGCATGCAAAAAATACTTTTTTCTCCTTGTGAAAAGAAGTGTATAGAAGGTTGCAGGCATAGTATAACTTTCCGACTTTTGAAATTTCTGATTCTTGGCCATCAGAAGTAAGCAGTCACAGACATATTTGGATAAAAAAAGGTTTTGTTGTTTTTTAATTTTAAATACAATTGTGTGCATACATTCTTTCTATTTAGTCTTAATTTGGCAGTCAGGAAATGATATAATTTAGTGGCCATTTACAACGCTAGAAATTTAGTACCTCGTGTAATTTGATCTCTGGTAATAACTGTCACTTCACTTTTAATGGTTTTATAGAATAGTTATAGCAGTAGGATGCTTGTGAAATTGCAATTTGAAACCCAGATGATGAGCTTAGCCACTTGGAATATTAATTGTGTGGTTTTACATTCCATTTTAGAACAAGGAATTAGAAAAGGTGCTGGCATATTGAGGTCTAAAATTAGGTCACTTAGCAGGAGTCTGCTCCTTATGTGGGTGAAATATATTTTATTTTTGCACTTTGAGTTATATTTCCACCCTTGTATAAGCTACAGAGGAACCTAAATGGATTGGGTAAGAAAGGAGTATTACGTGAACAAGTTTGAGCCAGTGCTGAATGACCCCCAGTTTGAGTCTTCTCTGAACACTATTTTTATTTCCCCATTGAGAAATGGCACAAGGCAACTCATTGTATTATGCTTTTATATCTCATGCTTCGGAATCTTATAATATCTTAAAGTGTTGATTCTATTACGTGCTAGAAACAGAATGCCAATATTTCATCTAAGGAAATTGCATAATGATGAAGGAGTTTGACCCTTGATGTCAAAAGATCTGGCACTATCATTTTTTCCAAATGACAGTACAGGACCAAATTAGGTAGGGAGGTTCCTAATGTTGGCTTTTGAGAAAATGTTTGGAAGAAAAATCTCTGGCAACGTTAAGTCAAGAATGTTAAGTAGCTGCTTAATGCTAATTTTCCTGCCATCAGCCTTCTTTTTTCTTCATATGGATTCTATCTATAGAACAAAAGAAAAAATAAATTGCAACTAATTTGCAGAGCTATTGACGTTGAGAGTGTCTAGCAGCAAACTGCAGTGAGGATCATAAAATAACTTCAGAGCCTTGCATTTATCAAATCTGTTTTGAGGAAAAGGTAAGCTAGACTTCTAATTTATTACTATAACTATTACAAGGCAGTGTTTACGTAAATCAATCATCTCCAAGTCTCTTTCTTGGAAAACTTTGAGACAGAATTTTTTTTCTTGATATGAAACCTGTATTTTAGTTGCTTTCCGTTTGTACAGAAATTTCCAGATTTTTATCTTTGTATTTTTTTTCTCATTAAAATCTAGACTATAGTGAAAGTACTGTTTACATTTACATGTTGGGCGTGAGTGTGGCTAGGTAGAAAGGCTGTGTGGCTTAAATCTATGTATTTTTTTACCTTGTTCTAGGTTCTACAGTTGCAGACTTGTGAGAGAGAGAGGCTTACATCATTAAACACTGAGACCTCAGTATAGAAAGAACTAAGAAAGATTTTTGTGCCCTGACTGGGAATTGAACTGGCGACCCTTTGGTTTGTAGGCCAGTGCTCAATCTGCTGAGCTACACCAGCCAGGTGGAACCAAGGAAGGTCTTGGTTTGGGATACAAACTGGAGGTTATATGAAAAGTCTTTGATGCATTTTCAATGTTCCCGTACAGCATGGCTGGCTTCCTTTCCTTTCCTCTTTCTCTTCTTATTCCTCTCTCTCTTTCATTCTTTAAGTCCATTCTGGACAGTGTTACTAAAGGGAAATTGAAATTTGTAGGGAGTAGGATGTTTTGAAGAGGCAAGTTTGCTGTTATCACCACACACTTTGGGAGGAACCTTTTTTGCAATGCTGTGGAATTCTTAACATGCCTATTCTTTTCATAGTTCTCTGTGGCCAGAATTGCTTGGGTAAAAATGCATGTGCTGGGTCAGTTTATTATTAGTAAACTTTAAAATCAGAAAGCAATGAGCTTATTAACCTTAGAATCAATCAGTTACTAAGTGTGGACTGTTCACAAGAAAAACCCATTGACTGTGAGGCCTGTTCGCAGTGTAACTGATGCTGCCAGTGGCATTCATCACTGCCCCATATCTGCCTAATTGTTACTTAGAATTCCCAAACCCCACAGTTCATAAATGGAGAGCAGAGGAGCCAAATGCCTTTATGGCTGGCACGAAACGGTCTGTTTTGGTGACACCTTTTTGGAAAGTGCTGTTCATATGTTCAAAGATGTATTCATAACACTAACCTGCTTTGACTGGATTCAAGAAAAGGCAATTTCATCATTAGTTTCATAGTAAACTTTTTAAAAAGGATTCTAATTCCAAAATGCTTGAGAAAATTAACTATATTGTTTTAAATACTCTGATCTAGTAAGTTTAATTCTTTGATAGTCTTTTTTTGTAGACTTAAGTTATCCCTTACCAAAAGTAATTATAGTAATAGTTCTTTAAGGTATTTAGGCATTAGGACAAGAAAGCTCCCTTTAGAATAGTTCAACAGCTTCTTTAAACAGTATTGGTTTCATTTAGATAGTTGCAAAGCCAACAAAGCATGTCAGTTTTAATGCCAACTTTACTTGGCTTTTCAGACAGTTTGCATTTGTAAAAAGTTTAGCCCAAATTACCCTTCTACTTCTGTAGAGGAGAATTGTTGGTAACATCAAAAGTCAGGCTGCTTCAGGTGACCAGTGAGAAAGGAAAGAGGTTGAGATTCTTTTTCCCCTCTCTGTCTTTGAATGCCTTTGAATGCCTTTGAATGACTGAAATTACCGTAGAAGTAGGTTTTGGTCCCCTTCTCGCCTACCCCTCACCATCCAGCAAATGCCACCAATTTCAAGTAACTAAAATGTGACGTTACTTTGCGTCAAGATCAATAAAAATATCTGTGAAATCTATAAGCCATAATTCAGCTACCACTAAAGTTGGATTTTAGAGTGTGTTCCACCCTAAATTAACCAAAGGACTTTTTATTCAGAGTACTCCATGTTTAAGCATAAAGAAGCTTTGTGCCTGATATGGAGAGAGGAGGAGGACTATGTTTATTTCATTGCTGTTTCAAATCTGTTTCAATCTGAACTGCTGGGTTGTCTGAACATAACCAAGCAGTGTTATCAGTAATGTCATCTTAAAAATGCTTAGTCTTAATAATTTTTTATTCAGAGAATCTATGGATTGTTAGGACAATTGAAGTATTTCTGATATGAAACAAAGTAAGTGGAAACTGGTACACAATGAGGGAAGCAAAATTAGTTTGCATTAAAGTGGGCATGTTTTGTTTCAAGAATTCTACCTAATTTTCACCCTATCCACAGAGAAACTAGTATTACTTGAAGATGTGAAAGTTCCTGTGGTAGCCATACCTTAAAGCACAGTATTGTATATAAGTAAATATCTTGATTCTAAATTAAATTCAGATTTAACTAATATATTATTTTGTATCTTTGTTGTATTAAAATGATTTAAAACACTAAAAATAAAACATTTGAAAGTTTGATTACTGTCTCATTTAATTGTCTCTACTATTAATGCAGCAAGCCTGTTTTTTATACAGTGAATTATTGTTTTTGCAAATGACTAGGCCCTCCAACTTTAAATCCTAATATAGTATCTAGTCCCTGGCATTTTCTAAGTCTTAGTTGTCCTCAAGATAAGCCATTTTCCATTTCCCCTTTTCTATAAACTAGGAAAGAAAAGTGATCTTCCTGAGGGTATCAGAGGGGAGGGAAGGGAAGCAAATAAATACTTATTCCTGGGCACATTAAAGTTTGTTTTTATTTAATGTAAATGTAGATTATGTAGGAAGATGCCATCATCTATCAGGTCAGCCTTGGGGATAATGCTGAACAGAAAAAGAAGGGAATCGTTGTTAGGGGTAGCCCGGTAGCCCAGAATCACGGAGTAGTTGGAACAGAAGCATTGTCACAGGTGCAGGACCACCTGAGCTTAATCCAGGACTGAATGAGTCCTCGTGATCACTGCTAACTGCAGCCTCTCTGGTGCTGGTGCCAGCTGGGCTTCTCTCAGGGGCTCTGGGAAAGAACGGTCCAGAACAGACTGCGAGGCTGTTTGGTGCAATAGAAAGTGCACTGGATTGAGACTCTGAGGACCTGGGCACGCGTTACATGTCTGCCACTGAGTCAATCGGGCTGTTTCTTCCAGACCCAATTAATCTAATGTGTAAAACGAGGGGGGTGGGAATACCTACCTCGTAGTTTGTATTAAGGGCCAGATTATGAAAGTACTGTACGGAGCCTTACTGACCCAGTACCTGGTACATGTTGGTGAAATAATAGTTGAATTTCGGTCAGTGAAATAGGGCCTGTGCCCCCAGGGAATTAATAATCTAGCTGGGAAGATGACATAAAAAAGGAAGCTAACAGCATTCACTGGTGGAATAGTCCAGTAGTTTTAAAACTGGCTGAACATCTTCAGGGGTAAGGGAAAGAGTTAGAGCTGGTATCATTTTCTCCCGGAGTTGCTGTTTTACATATTTGGCTTTCCTAGCAGGCTTTCCATTTGGGGGGAAATGGCTGAGAATAAGGGAATGAAATGTTTAAAAAACAACTGAGGCAATAAATAAATTTATTGTCTTCACGGCAGCTTGAGAAAGGATGGGCTCACTGGGGACCAGAGGTCCAAGACAAATTCAGTAAGTCTGTGAAACTTGAACTGAGTCCTCACCTAAGGGCAGTTCACGAGGACCTGATGAAGAGCTTAGAGAGCGCTAATTGTCATGTAGAACTTTGGATTTATCGGGTATGTGTTGGGGAACTATTGGTGGGGTATGTGTTTGATTTTGTTATAAATGGAGCACTGGGAATGCCTGTTGCCATGGTCTGAATTGTGGAGACAGGCATAAGTAGTTCTGTAAAACAGGAATTGGTAAAGGGCAGAAATGTGAAAAAGAGAGTGGTAAGGTGAGGGAAGCTACACAAAGATCCCTGGAGATGAGGAGAAGGCTAGAGACCCCGAGATCAAGGAACCAGGATTAGGCATAGCTTGTAGGAGGGAGGCCTTTGGCCCCAGTCAGAGAAGATCGAGACAACAAATAAATGAGCTGCCAGTTGCCTACTTGATGGTGTAATATGAAGTCAGGATGTATAATATACCTTGTGTCCAGAATTGTCTCATGGTTGTGCACCTAACCCACCTGCTTGGAGCGCAGGGCTGCCAGACATGAAGTGGGGTGGGAGCCGGCTCTGGCGGAGACCTGCGGAGGGTGCTGGGGTCATACAGCGCCTCCGGGGAGCTCAGTTGTCACCCTCAGCTCTAACGTTGAACAGGACTGGATGACAGCTGTAGTAGTTTGATATTTAAATGCCTTATGTTCTCAGCTCACAGGGCTCCCTGGGAGAGCCAGAAATACAAAACCACCATGACCTACCTGCCTGTCCGGATTCCAGCCTTAAGAGCCCTGGATCCCACTCTTAAGAGAATACCTGTACCTAATGGTTTTTTGATACAGGCTAATCAGCAGCCTTTATCAGTAAGACGTCAGAGTAAATGAAATTTGATCCTGTTTTTCCACAAAGACTGATTTTGGAGGCTTAGCTGGAGAGCATTTTGGCAATAGTGATGCAATCGGAGGGACTTGAATGCGGTTGAAATCTTACGTGCAGAAATTTGATAAGCCTAGCTATCCAGGCAAGAGTCTACGTTTTCCTGACTGTTGATTCCACAGTGGTGCCTGTGAGTCTTACTATCTTTTTAAAAAGTTATTAAGTAAATAATTTATTAACACAGTAGTAACTGTATGTGCTGAAAGCTCTTTTCCTTCTACCCTGTGCCCCAGCCTTAGTTCTCCTTCCAAGAGGCAGCCGTTTAATCAGTGTGTTTTTTCCCAGAGGTATTCTATGCATATGCAAACAAGTATGAATTTTTTAAATTTATTTTTACATATTTTGCAGAAATTACAACATACACACACATACATGGTTTGCACCTTGCTTACTTCACTTAGCATGTCTTCCTCTCCAACAGCACACCTGAGTTGAGTAAGTTGGGTGTATTGCCCATGGCAGTGTGGGAGAAAGAACACTGCCCAGGGAATTGTAGGGCAACTCATTTAATACGGGTTGGAAAACACTTACTATTATAATTTGGGTTTGGATTAGGTAGTTTGGGGAAAATTTTTAAGGAAGTATGAATTTACTCTGGAATAGATGTTTTTAGATGCTGGGGCAATTTTATGAGTGTGTATTGTAATAAATCTTAGCAATAAGGCAGGAGGAATGAATGGAGGCTAATGTTACAACTGGTAAAGAAACAGCACTCGCTTGTGTTAGCCAAGATAGAGGCATCTTTGGTCGTTTTGTGGTTTCAATAATGTTCATGTTTTTGTCCGTGTTCAGAAATTATTACTGAGAGGGGTGGAGGGAGGTAGATGAGAGTATAGGGGGGGTAAGGGGTGATGGAAGGAGAATCACCTGGGGTGGCAAAGACCCAATACAATATACAGATGATACGTTATAGAATTGTATACCTGAAACCGATAAAAGTTTATTAACTAGTGTCACCCAATACATTCCATTTTTAAAAACTCATAAAAAAGAAGATATTACTGAGCAGTCTTGTTTTTGTGTTGGTGTTCCGTGAATTTTATGTTCAGCAGAAAAACAGTAAGGCCAGCTGTGAGCACCGGGCCCGCCTCTGGGAGCACCGAGTTCAGGTGATGGTCCCCGGCCAGCTCTCTGATGCCAAGCCGCTCCGTCTTCCTCCCACGATGCATATTAGTGTTCTCTCCGTACAAGTACGTAAAGAATGAGGTTTGCCTCGTTCTTTTTAACGACAGCATGATACTCCGTTGTTACTCTTCCCGGGAATTTGGTCATTTAGATTGTTTACTATTCAAACAATGCTTCAGTAAGTATAACATGTGACTTTGCATGTATGCAAGTTTATCTGTAGAATAAATTGCTACAAGTGAAGCTGTTGGATCCAAGGCTTTGTGCATTTAAAATTTTGTTAGATATTATCAGATCGACTTCAATAGAAGTTTTATCAATTTATTCTTCCACCTGCAATGTATGAGTTTTCCTGTTAATCTCCACCATTGCCAACCTAATGTATTCCTGAACTTTCTAATTTTTGCCAGTCTGATGGGTTTTTAGATGATATCTTAGTTCCCTTTCTACATACATAAGCTGCAGAAGTGTTTTGTTTTTTTTTTTATCCTCACCCAAGGACATGCACACTGAGTTTAGAGAGAGGGGAAGAGGGAGGGAGGCAGGGGAAGGATCATCCATCAGTTGCCTCTTGTACACGCTTCACCACAGACCTCTTGTTTGTGCCCCAGCGGGGACCAAACCCACTAACTAGTTATGTGTCCTGCCTGGGAATTGAACCCATGACCTTTTGAATTACCAACAACACTCCAACTGAGGGAACCACACTGACCAGGACAAGTAATTTTTTTTTTCAATCCTTGTGTGTTTATTTTTTATCCTCACCTGAGGACATGCCCATCGACTTCAGAGGAAGGGGAAGGGAAGGAAGAGAGACATCGATCTGAGAAAGAAACATCAGTTACATCTCCCGCTGCCTGACTGGGGCCTGGACCAACCCAGGCACACACCTGACCGACCACCTGACTGGAAATCGAGCTTGCAACATTTTGGTCCACAAAACAACACTCCAACCAGCAAATTTTTTTTTTTAATATAATTTTTTTATTGATTATGCCATTACATTTGCTCTATTCCCCCCTCCCTTCCCCTCCACCCTGCATACCCCTCCCCCACCATTTCCCCCTTTAGTTCATGAACATGTGTCTCAATTTCTTTAGATTCTGTATTTCCCCTACTATTCTTACCCTCCCCCTATGTATTTTCTATCTACTATCTATGCTACTTATTTTCTGTACCTTCTCCCCCCCTTCCCCTCCTCCCACTCCCCTATTGCTAACCCTCCCTGAGATCTTCATTTCTCTGGTTCTGCTCCTGATCTAGCTATCCTCTTAGTTTGCTTTTGTTTTAGGTGTGGTTCTTAATAACTGTGAGTTTGCTGTCCTTTCACTGTTCTGCCTTTTTTATCTTCTTTTTCTTAGGTAAGTCCCTTTAACATTTCATATAATAAGGGTTTGGTGATGATGAACTCCTTGAATTTGGTCTTCTCTGAGAAGCACTTTATCTGTCCTTCCATTCTAAATGAAAGTTTTGCTGGATAGAGCAATCTTGGATGTAGGTCTTTTGGATTTCATAACTTGGAATACCTCTTTCCAGCCCCTTCTTGCCTGTAAGGTCTCTTTTGAGAAATCAGCTGACAGTCTGATGGGAACTCCTTTGTAGGTGACTGTCCCCTTAGCTCTTGCTGCTTCTAAGATTCTCTCCTTCATTTTAATCTTGGCTAATGTAATTATGATGTGCCTTGGTGTGTTCCTTCTTGAGTCCAACTTCTTTGGGACTCTCTGAGCTTCCTGGATTTCTCGGAAGTCTATTTCCTTTGCCATCTTGGGGAAATTCTCCTTTATTATTTGTTCAAATAATTTTTCAACTG